AAGTCTCGCCATTCGTAGCACCATATTACAACTCGTCAAAGGGACAAGTCTTCTTGAAGTCTTCCTACCAATATGACCGAGTTGCGAAAACAAGGTCAAACAACTTCTAACAATTCTATTCTCAACACAAAATCAGTGGCAAAAAACTGGGGAGAACGATACTCGTCATGATACAGTTAAAGCATTTCGGCGGAGTGAAGATGCTGCCTTTACCCAATGTCACTGAATTACCGTGCATTCCAATATTGGTTCGTCAATGTCCATTCAAGCAAAGTTGATCGCGCCAAAGCCCAGCGCTGAAATGCGTATGAAGCAAAGCGCAAATTTGTGTAGTTAAACTTGGGCCCAAAATTATCTACAGTCTTCTCTGGTACAATGATTAAATAGGTGGAAATGAGGCTGATGAATGGAATGACTGGACGATAAAAGTTTAGCACAAGTAAATCTGTTCCGTCGTTTAGTGTATCCCAACGGGGCTCGATCCAAAGATGAGCACAACAGAAATAAATAGGTCTCTTGCTGGCCTGAATGGCGGTATCACGACGGGTCGCTGGCTAAACAAGGAAGCTCGTTGCACAAGGCAGTCGGCCGAACTCGAGTAAAGTTAAACAATCATATTTTTGACAATTAGTCCTTTAAAGCCAGTAAGCCCGTCTGTACAAGTGCTTCGAATGCGCCAGATTCCTAATTTGTCCATTGGGCAATAAAAGCTTTATACTGTCGTAGAGTCGCACTTCACGTACACGATAGTTCTACCAATGGGAGGGTAAAATTGATTTTTCACCCAACACCAGACTGGCAGGCATTGTGTCCGTGTATCCGTGTGTCTGTCGTGTCCGTCGTGCAAGTAGTGTCGTGGGCCAGATGAGCTGGCCTCGGTGAAGCCCAGGACGTGAACACTAGTGCAGATGAGTCATTGCTGTTACGAGTGAAGTCGAGCTGAAGAGAATGGCGGAGGGGCGACAAATCGGTGGTGAGTGGCAGTGTGGACTTGGTGAAGCGGGCAGAACAAAATTGAACGATCGATACTGTGACACGAGGCGTCGAGAGTCTACGCCGCGTACACGCGCCATATGGCGAGTGGGCCAACTCGTCGTGGGTCGCAGAGTCGAATTCGCGCGCAAGCGACAGAGCGCATTGAAGGAAATACCGTTCAAGGCCTATAAGCCCCTGCGGTTGGGAGTTGGCATGTCTGTGCCTGCGTGGCCACGCTCCAGCCTCGAGTCGAGCTGACAATAGTGAAGCTCAGGATCGCGGAAGCCTTCAATCAGGGCTTTGCATTTTCGAATTACCCTTCTTCCTGCAGTGTCTCGGCGCTCAGCTTGACGAGAGCATTTACTCATGTTTCAGTTTGCTAGCTGGCGTTCCGCGAGTGCCCATGTCAAACAGG